CCCAACTTCAGTGCCCTTTACTATCTACCTGAGAGTGGTTATGAGTATCAAATGAGGTATTTTATGTAAAGGGACCTGTGTTTGAATCATAATGGTCATATGTAATTAAAAAGAACCATCAAAATTAAAGTCCATCAAAATTCTGCTTTTTCTTCCACACTGACTACTGAGATACTCTTATTCAGAAATATTAAAATCTATTAAGAAATAAAAATGTTGGTATTCTGTTTTATTATTACGCAATTTGGTAAACTACTAATGACTACTGCATAACCCACTACTGACAACTATTATGAATACTATTGGGTTGTCAGAAAAGTCGTGACGCCTTTTTGCAACGAAAAACATAAAAAAAATATGTCATGACTTTTCCGACAACCCAATATTTCTCTTAATCCTTCAGACTAAGTAGGAACTTTAGTATTGCCATGAAAACCTAGTAGTGCATGTCTTAAAATGTATAGAGTTTAAAAAAAAAAAAGAAGCTATAGTTTTCATTCTTACCTTGCATTAGGGGTAAGGCTTCTTAAGACATGAGTTAGGGAACTCAGTGGTAGTGATCCGGATTGTTTAACCAGAAGAGAATTCTCATAGGAGGTTTCTTCAGTATAAGGACTATATGTAGTAGTTTCATACCAGAGCCAGTTATAAAGACTCTGCTTCACATGATCCCACACTAGAGCACGTAATCAAACAAAACAAAAATTACTAATTATTTTCTTATTGTCATTTTACTAGAGTCTACTCTAGGAAAGAATGAGAAAGAATTAAATNAAAAATCCATTGTAAGTCTCTCAGGAATTGGTAAGAAATGGGAAATTTTGCATTTATGACAAAGGGTAAGCCTTTAGAGAAAATAAGTAAATTTCTCTTGCACTGGGGGGGTAGAAGAACGATACAGTGACAAATATTCTGAGATGATACATTTTGAAAGTCCAGGTTCCTTGAATTCTAGGAGACACTGCAATTAATAGTATTTTAATTACATATATAAACATATAAATTATATATAAATAGAAAATAGATTTTATATTACATATAATAGTCCATATACTACACGTATAATTATATGTAATTAAAATTATAAATATTAAAATTATATAATTACATACAATTACATAATTATATAAATATATTTATGCATACCTGTATGGAAAAGATGTATTTATATAATTATATTTTATATATACATTTATTGCATTATATGTCATATATATTATATATTCTACATATATACTATATACATACATATATATGAAATGACAGACACCTATTTTAATAAGCACACAAACAATACTAAAATTATCCATCAAATCAGTTAAGCATAACCAGTTACTCCTTTTAATTCTTAAGCAATGATTAAATGACAATTGTTAGAGCCTAAATAACTATTTCTAATTTTTTGAAATGCTCATAACCAAAAATCACACCAAAAGAATAAAGTTTTTCCATTCCAGATTTTAGTATGTAAAATTGAAATGCAACGATATTTACTCAGAATATTTTATAAAAATATTGGACAATATAAAACTATCAGACAAAGATGTACTAATCAACTGGAGGCATTTCACACTCTCCAAGGAAACCTTAAAATAATTCCGAAATATGTGGCTTTGGGTTATACAAATTTCAGATAGTAGGCGTTAAGTGTAAGGTAACTAGTAAAAAAATCTCACAGATAAAGAAAAAAAACTATTTTAGAGAAATCTAAATCAGCATTAAGAGAAGAGCCATTATTAAAATAACCATCATTTTTATGTGTACCAATAGACGAATAAGTAGAAATGTATGCATGCTTAGCTATACGCTAAAACTAGAGCATCTACTTCATGTTACCTTCTTTAAATTT